TATATATATATATATATTTGTTTTTGTTCCTGAAATTTCTGTATCTGAATATTTTTTTAGAAGTGTGGTAGGGCTGTGCGATAAATTGAATTTGTTTAAATTTAGATTTTGTCTTCCAACAGTTATGAGTATACGATCATTTGATTAGTGCCGCATTCTGTATACAATTGAGAACTCTTTCTGTGCATGCTATGAGACGAAATGGCAAAATAGAAGTTTTGGCTTGTTTGGGCTTTGCTCATAAAAGTAAGCAGGTGCAGGTCGCTATGTTTTGGTATGTGGCTTATTTAAGATGAGTTTGGAATTTAGTTTAGTATGGGCTTGTTATTTGTGTGTGTCTGTCTGTCTGTCTGGGGGTTTTTTTTCCTACCAAGATATGGCAACACTAATGAGTCAAAACGTATTCTTGTGATTTCTTGCACCGCACGTACAGAAGCCAATGCTGATTCGTGTTTGAAGTCTAGTTGTTCGGTTCCGTACACACTGCATAGAATTTCTGTAAATGTGGCTATCACTACCTGAATTTTTTCGTTAGTCATTTTTGCTGTAGAATGCAGTTGTCACTCCCGTAATTTACTGAACTATGTGTATAGAGAACAGGATTAAGCACTAAAAGGTGAATTGACAACCAAATTAAGCTGCACTCTGTATGTGGCCTATCTGATTTAGACATGTAAATCATCAGCATTTTATGTCATTATTGGGTGCTTTAATAATAGAATTGCTTATGTGTGGCATCATTGAGTGATTACCAGAAACAATTTGCATCATTGCTTGATTAATTGAAACAAATTGTCCGAAAGAACCAGTATGGCAAAAAAAGAATCGAACTTCCCATATACTACATAGGAACTACCTAATATACCTGCTGCTGACTGTAATTAACGTTACTCAGACAACAAAAGACAAAGACGATCACTCATCACTCAGCATTATAAGGGTCAATGTAAGTTTAATTCATACAGTGAAAACTATGCGGTTGTATTTTGCATGTCATTACTTTATTCAGTTTCTGTAGTAATCTGTTAAATTTAAAGCATTTAATTTTTTTCTATTACATTTCTTCTGTTTGTCATTTCTTCAGTTTTTTTGTTTTTGTTTTTTTGTATTGTATTGTATTGTATTGTATTGTGTTGTATTATTGACTGTTCTTGTCTTCAATAGTCATTTGAGGCCTTTTTTTTTTTACTTTTATTAGCCTAGTACAGGGGTAGGCAAGTTTGGTCCTAGAGAGCTGCAGTCCTGCAGAGTTCAGCTCCAACCCTAACCAAACACACCTGAACTAGCTAATCAATGTCTTCAGGATTACTAAGGCTATAGGCAGGTGAGGGTTTTTTTTTTCAGGGTTGGAGCTGAACTCTGTAGGACTGCAGCTCTCTAGGACCGAACTTGCCTACCCCTTGCCTAGTATTAGCTTCTGCTGTGGTACCAAAATTGCTATCAACAATTGTGAATTTTCACTGGTATTTAAAATCTTAACATCATAGCAACCCTATATCCAACAAAATATACTTAATGTATAATCCCTATCATGAAAAAAAAAATTGGATTGTGGTCATGTCTCCCATCTCTCTCTGGGGTGGACCAAAGGTTCTTAAACCTAGACCAAATTTGGTAATTAAGAATAACTCAAAATCAATGCTTTACTGTCAAATGTGACTTTCTATGGGCCAAAATATGCGATTTTACTGTAATTTGTACAGTACTTCTTAGTGCAATACAATAATGACAAAACATTCATTTTGTTTTTACACTTGGAAACCTACTGCTTCACTTTGAGAGAATGTTGCTTTAAACAAATAATGTATTATTTTTGGGCTCTTTTCTGCTCGTTAGATGGAGATGACTACCTGACTGTTGCCCAGTCGCTAAAGCGAGAGTTCGACAGCCCAGAAATCTCTGACTTAAAGTTCCTGGTTGATGGGAAGTGTATTCATGTGCACAAAGCCCTTCTTAAAATCAGGTAAATTGAAACCTGCAATCAAGTAGCAGCATCTCTAAAGTCTTTTTCACTGTTTTTAGCCCTATTTTGTGTATATAAAGTAAAAATGGTTTGTGCCATTCTGCCTTCCTCTTAACCTGAGTTTTTCCTCAGGTATGTAAACAGCATCTGAAAATAATCTCTGAATAATCAACGAAAGATTGGGGTTTTCCCCACTGGTGTCATTCCCATGTTTAATTTAAAACTCGGCAGCTGAACTCTTTTGACACGAACATGTGCAGACACATTCTTGTTCATGTATAGATGGGCGGTTGTGTAAGTATTACTCTTTGTTTCTCTACAGACACTGTTAATATTGTGAAACATATTTTCTGTATCCTATTAGAGCAGAGCTTGACCCTTCCTTTTTCCAAAAGAGCTTCAGGGGCGCAATGAAACTTTTAGTTTAGAGTTCGTAAAAGAATGTGTTTTTCCTTAATAAAAAGGAAACATTTACATGCAAAATTATATAATCTATTAGAATACAAATAGTACCCTAGTTTTTTTTAATAAATATTTCCTCTTCAAACTGTTTTGAATAATTATGTAATTATATATGGGCCGACTTTAAACTGTATAAATTCTATATATGTATGGTAGCACTTTAAGGACCAATTCACACTATTGACTAGTTGCTTATTTGCATGCATTTTACTTGCATATTGGCTGTTTATTTGTACTTTTAAAGCACTTATTAATGCTTTATTCTGCATGACCATATTTTAGATCCCTTAATCCTGCCCCATATATAAATATATTTATTTATTCCAGGAGACTGTAAAACATGCAACAGTATTGACTTGACTTGAACATGCAGCGTTGATGTTTAACTCTTTCCCTGCCATTGATAAGTTTTTCTGGCAATTCCGGCATGTTTTCACTTTTATTTGGTACATTGTGCTCTTAGGCATCTTCTGAAATAGTACAGAACTTCATAATCCAAAATGCTTGAAAATAAAATGATCTGCGCAAACGGGACGGAGTGGAGAGAATGTATCAAAATATCACCTAGAAAAATGTTGCCCATGCAGAGGTACGGTGCATCCGGAAAGTATTCACAGCGCCTCATTTTTTCCACATTTTATGTTACAGCCTTATTCCAATATGGATTAAATTCATTATTTTCCTCAAAATTCTACAAACAATACCCCATAATGACAACGTGAAAGTAGTTTGTTTGAAATCTTTACAAATTTATTATAAAATGAAGTCTTTTTGAGTATGATGCTACAAGCTTAGCACACCTATTTTTGGGCAGTTTCTCCCATTCTTCTTTGCAGGACCTCTCAAGCTCCATCAGGTTGGATGGGGAGCCATTTTCTGATCTCTCCAGAGATATTCACTTGGGTTCAAGTCTGGGCTCTGGCTGGGCCACTCAAGGACTCCTTTATCATCTTGGCTGTGTGCTTAGGGTCGTTGTCCTGTTGGAAGATGAACCTTCGCCCCAGTCTGAAGTCCAGAGAGCTCTGGAGCAGAATGTCTCTGTACATTGCTGCATTCAACTTTCCCTCGATCCTGACTAGTCTCCCAGTTCCTGAAAAACATCCCCAGAGCATGATGCTGCCAGCACCATGCTTCACTGTAGGGATAGTATTGGCCAGGTGATGAGCGGTGCCTGGTTTCCTCCAGCCATTCAGGCCAAAGAGTTCAATGTAGAGGTCTGCACTGAGGTCAGATTAAATTCCTGAATAAAACGTAGCAGTCGGTAACTCTGGTGTAATTTGAACGGGAGCGGGCGGTCTAACAATATCCCATTCCCGACGCCCATTTAGAACAGCATATCTGTGCTTTATTCTTATTGACCACCAGTACAGCTTGCACTCAGGACTGTTATGCACACGCTGCACGCATGCTTTAACGTCATGGGGTCTGTGCGCAGCATGTTCATAACGATGCTCAGAGCAGGCTGTACCTGTGGTAAATATACAGCCCTCAGACGGAACAGGCAGGTTGTCGTTGAGTGAGAGCAGAATAAGGATGGAGCAAAGTGTGGATGTGCTGTCCTTGAAGGACGTTCAACTCGGTTTTGTTTATATTTTGCTTGGCCTATAATTTTAAATGAAAGATGTCATATTTATTTACTTTAATCTGCGACACTTTTCCTACTATGTTAACAGAAAAATGTCAAACGAATTTAGTATTTTGACAAGACGAATAAAAATAGCTAATAGGCTATTTTTTTTAAAAAATTTTTACAACCTACATAATTTTTTTTCTCTTTGCAACACTTTTTTTCCTGTTGTGTTGTCGATGTTAAATTGTATCCTGACAAGACGAATAAAAATAATAAAAATTTTGTATAACATTTTTATTTTCTGACACTTTTTTTTTTCTTCCTACTGTTGCATAAAATATTAAACTAATTTTGTGTCTTAAGATAATTCATATAAGTTCAAGTCAAAGTCAATAAATTCAAGACTTAACAAAACGAATAAAATAACATAAAATTTTGTGCAGAATACACTTATTTGTCAGCCTATCTCTCTTTCATTCAGTAGCGGAAATTTAAATGTGAATATATATATATATATATATAGCGGGAGCGGGGGGGTGCGGAATAGAACCTTGCGGGAGCGGGGCTAAACAGCAGACCTCTAGTTCAATGTTTGTTTCATCAGACCAGTCATGTGCCTTTTACCGAGGAGTGGCTTCCGTCTGCCCACTCTACCATACAGGCCTGATTGGTGGAGTGCTGCAGAGAAGGTTATTCTTCTGGAAGGTTCTCTCTCCACAGAGAAATGCTGGAGCTCTCTCAGAGTGACCTTCGGGTTCTTGGTCACCTCCCTGACTAAGGCCCTTCTCCCCCGATCGCTCAGTTTGGCCGGGTGGCCTGCTCTAGAAAGAGTCCTGGTGGTTCCAAACTTCTTCTATTTGTGCTCATTGGGACCTTCAGTGCTGCAGAAATTTTTCTGTACCCTTCCCCAGATCTGTGCCTTGATACAATCCTGTCTCGTAGGTCTACAGACAATTCCTTTGACTTCATGGCTTGATTTTTGCTCTAACATGCACTGTTAACTGTGGGACTGCATATAGACAGGTGTGTGTGCCTTTCCAAATCATGTCCAATCAACTGAATTTACTACAGGTGGACTCTAATCAAGTTGTAGAAACGTCTCAAGGATGATCAGTGGAAACAGTTTTTTTTTTATATATATATATATATAAATTTGCAGAGATTTCAAACAAACTTCTTTCACATTGTCATTATGGGTTATTGTTTGTAGAATTTTGAGGACAATAATGAATTTAATCCTGTAAAGTCTGTAACATAACAAAAAATGTGGAAAAAGTGAAGCGCTGTGAATACTTTCCTGATGCACTGTAAATGACTGGTCAAGCATTGGACCTGTTTATAGACTTGGACAGCCATCATTAATTTTTTTGATAATTGTGAATCTGATTGAGTTGAAGTAGCCAATGAGGGAGATGCCTGTGCTGACACTGAAATTTCTAATTGTGGACATGCCAGGGATAGACTGATATCCCGTCAATTTGGATGAGAATGCAGGGCACCTGTTTGTCTACATGTGGACAGTGACAGTTTAGCCTGCATACTTTGGACATGGAGATGAGGGGTTTATGACCAGTCTCGTTCTCAGTTCCCACTTGCCAAAGGGATAGAGCTAAGACAAAATAAGAAAATGGTCAAAAATAGATTCCTCTCTTTGTGCACATTTACCACGCTGTTGAATAATCATAATGATGAAATTCAAGTATGGGTCAAATATGTCAATATTGTGCTGCTGGTGACTAAGCAAGGGCCACTGTGAACCATACAGCTGTGGCTCTTGAACTTGGTAATCTTGTGTGGCATGAAATTAACTGGAAGCCAAAAGACCTTCCCTTCACTGAAAATCCTGGGCCTGTCAGTGATGCTACAGCTTTTGATCCAGAACAACCAATTGACTATATTGAGTTGTTATTTTCTGATGTAATGATACAGAACATTGTTGAACAGACCAACCTGTATGCAGACCAGTCATTCAAGCTACGGATGACACTTCACAACATGCTAGATTTCATTCATGGAAGCCTGTCACGGTTTCAGAAATGAAAACTTTCCTGTGACTCTTTTATTCTCACTGGTGTCATTCATAAGCCTGAACTTGATGTACTGGTCTACAGATGAAATGTAAGCTACCCCGTATGTTTGATTTATTATATTTAGTTGTGATATTTCTTGTAATTTATTTCTTCTTGTTTTGTTACTGACCGTTTACTTGTTTTTAGTGATGTTTGAACGTTATATTAGGTAGGCTAGTGTTACTTTTTGCTGCTGTATCTTAAAATTTAGAATTAATCGAGGTATGTGAAATTTCACTGGTCGTAACAAGTTAGTGGTGGGGCCAGTGAAAATTTTGGCTGAACAAGTAAAAACCTGATCCACTGGCCTGAACTAAGAATATTGTGTTCTAACAACATGCATACACTTCATATTTGTGAACAAATGATTCTTCTGAGCTAAAAGCTGGTTAATTTTTTTTTAATTGCAATAAATAGAACTTTAAATAAAAGAAATGAATGGCATTAAAAACATGTATCATTTTGTGGTTGTGTTGATAGGTGTGAGCATTTCCGAGCATTGCTGAACGAGACCGATGAAGAGACCATAGAGATTCATCAGTTCTCTTATCTGGTGTATCGCGCATTTCTGGAGTACCTGTATACTGATACCATCAACCTCCCACCTGAGGATGCCATTGGTAAATCGCACTGGTCATGACTGCTAGATCACTGTAACATCCGTGATCTGGGCTGAATTTTGTATTCTTTTTTTTTTTTAATCCACAAATATATACCTGTTTGAAATAGATATAGATAGAGTCCAACATGACGCATCGAAAAACTTGTTAATTACCCTGTAGAGCAGCACTTGAATGTAAAATTTTCTGATTGATGTTGGTTGATGTTTATGGTCCTATGATCATTGAATTGGAAAGGTCTTCTGGATTTGTCCACGTACTACCGTGAGAGTCGTCTGAAAAGACTTTGCCAGGAGACCATCAAGAGAGGCATCACAGAGGAGAATGCTATAACACTGTTTTCAGCTGCTGTCAAGTATGAAGCACGGGTGAGTATGCACACTCAAACATTCAGTCATCCATTCAGTTAAATACAGGTCCTGTTCCAAATGTTAGTGAGATTAACATTAGCTTGTTGCTAAGCTAACAACTAAATACTCAAAAAATATATACAGTATCTCACAGAAGTGAGTACACCCCTCACATTTTTGTAAATATTTTATTATATCTTTTCATGTGACAACACTGAAGAAATGACACTTTGCTACAATGTAAAGTGAGTGTACAGCTTGTATAACAGTGTAAATTTGCTGTCCCCTCAAAATAACTCGACACACAGCCATTAATGTCTAAACCGCTGGCCACAAAAGTGAGTAAACCCCTAAGTGAAAATGTCCAAATTGGGCCCAAAGTTGGGAAAATCAACCCATGGCAACAGTTTAAAAGTAGCCCAATTCTGTGGAAAAAACGCGGACTTGGCAACCCTGCATCCAACAAGAGCTACCGGAGTCAGCTTTGACTGATCACAGGTCGAGAATAAAGAGAGATGACTGACAAGACCATGCTGGAGTATTTGCTGCTCAACAGATTCTGAGCTCATTGACAAATATCTGATCTTGTAAGATGTGCTCCCTTTACACAGTGCGTGTGATCGCGAAAGTGAAAGTAAACAGCAAACGCTCATTCAAAAATATTTAAATACACCGCATCCTGAGAGCGGCTCCCTGATGCGCCAAAATTATACACAATATTAGAATGTTTAAAGGAGTGGACACGAAAATCGCAGGAGCTCAACACATGTTGCGGGAGCAGGAGGCAATGGTCAGAGATTCAGCGGGAGTGGGATTAAGAAGACAGCCGAATCCCGGATATTTTGGGCAATTAAGAAATCCCGGCAGGACGCATTTTTGTAGGTCCAAAAAGAGGACATGTCCGGGGAAAAGAGAAAAGAGAGTATGTGTCACCCTAATTTATAATCTATTGCTAATCGATGTATTCTTTTTAAAGTAGCATATAGAACATTTTCTGCCTCATTCTGTGACAAGAAGCCTCATCAGATCACAAAAGGAAGCATTTGACTGCTGTTGTGGAGTAAACATTTTATAATGTTCTCTTTTGTTGGACAACAGGTTTAGAAATGTGAATACAAGGGAGGTTTAGCTTTAGGCATTTTAATTTAAGCATGCTTAGCTTAGTTAACGGAAGGCTACCTGCTGCCATCCGAGCAAGTGTAATTACTGCATTCACGTGCTCCTCTGATGCTCTCATTTCCCAAGTTGTGCTTTTAAGTCGGAATGTGAAAACAACATGGACACTCTCGTTACTACAAAGATGTGTTGGATTTGTATTATTAGAGCTTTCTGACTTAAGGTCATGTGCATTTTCTCAGTCGGGAAATAATTTTTCACATGCGATGATGTTTCTTACGTCCGTTTCGGAGAACCAGAGGACAAATATTTCAATTGATCGCTCAGGCATGACACCGAAATCTGCGTTCGGATTCGGTTCTAGTACATACCGGTTACATGGGTATATGTACTATGGTGCTATATTGGTACCGGGTTTCGGTACCCAACCCTACTAGTAACACTGAGTCCCATGACACCGGGGAGAGAAAATGGCTAATTGGGCCCAATTTGGACATTTTCACTTAGGGGTGTACTCACTTTTGTGGCCAGCGGTTTAGACATTAATGGCTGTGTGTGGAGTTATTTTGAGGGGACAGCAAATTTACACTGTTATACAAGCTGTACACTCACTACTTTACATTGTAGCAAAGTGTCATTTCTTCAGTGTTGTCACATGAAAAGATATAATAAAATATTTACAAAAATGTGAGGGGTGTACTCACTTCTGTGAGATACTGTATATATGAAGAAGATGTGAAATACACAAGACACTTGACTAACATATTGCTAAGCACTTAATACACTAATAAAAATGCGAAGAATAATCACAATTCATTCAACAGAATTAGATCTTAGTGTATTGCTAAGCTAACGACTTCATACTCAACATGAAGCACACAGGAGTAGGGCTGTCAAAAAATAAAATAAAATTTCGAATATTCGTTGACTTTAAAATAAAAATCCACATTCTAGGTGTGCGTTAAGGAGGCAGCCTTATCAGTGGCGCACGAGATGCGATGACGATGTAAGTGTCGTTGCATTATAATGTTTTTGTTATCCTGTCCAGTTGAAGCCACTAGATGTGGCGCTCCTGCCTTGTTAATTACAAATATTGCTAAAAAAAAAAGAGAACATCAGTGCGGAGAAGATCTTGTTTACGTCAAAACTGAAACCAAGCCATTCACACAGAACGCTTATTTCGTGCATTTTCTAGAGGGACATCTATCACCGTTGCACTCGCGTCTCGCACAAAAGAGCCGCATGTTTAGAAAGCCATGTAAAATTAATGCAAGTTCAACTTTGACAAAACTTGTTTTTTTAAATGGAAAAATGTACTCTTTGTGATTGGCTTTCTGCCTTTTGTATTAAACTATGCATACATTATGCTGTTTTGTTTATAGTTAAGCATCTTAATTATAATTGGTTAATAAACATTATTTTAAACATTATGCGCCCTCTTGTGGCCTCAGGAGAGAAGCCAGAAGCTTTTCTTTACCCTAACTGAAATTATGCATTTTAAATTTTAATATAATTAAAATTATCATATTTAAGTACAAAATTCGAATTTAGTTTTCAGCCATTTTGACAGCCCTATACAGTAGACATGACCAACATTCATGGTTTATTTACTAGATTTTGATGTTATCATATTGCTACCGTACAGTATAGTTTGATGTTAATGTGTTACTAAGCTAATGACTTTATACTCTTTAAAAAGTAGGAAAAGACCAGCACAAATATTAGGTGAAATAGCTTATATAATACACATATAGTAATACATATTGCTAAGCGAATGACTTTATACTCTAATAAGATTCTCTAATAACCAATATTTGTCTAAGACAAGGATTGGTTAAAATAGCTCACTTGAAGTTCAGAGAAGACTTGACTAACATTCACAGTTTGATGTTAGCATATTGCTAAGCTAACGACACCGGGCCAGATTCACGAAACATTCTTATGTTTGTTTGTTTTTTACTGCTATTTTCTACTTACTATGATTATTACGTTAATCTGCAGGCAGTACCAAAAAAGATGGGGTATTTTCCATCGAGTTTGTTTAGGGAATCTTAAGCAGGAGTCTCCATACAATCACATAACACTAAAGCTTGTAATTTTCTTCCTAAGGGAAAAAAAATAAGATTTTCTTAAAATATTTGAGAACTTAAGAATGGTTTTAAGTGCAATTCTTGAAAAATTCTTATGAACTTATTGGAATTTATCTTAAGAAGACTTTTGTGAACCTGGCCCCAGAAAACCAAAAGAAGTGACCTCTGACTTGGGTCCACACCAAAGGATCTAGTGTGACATCTACCCTAAGATAGCACTGTAACTAAAGATAGCACACATACATTGTCTAAAAATGCTGTCTAGTTAGGCAGCTCACTAAGTTTTGGAACAGAGCCCTAAACATGTGCATACATTTGCGGTTTCATATATTATTCTGTAGGTCTTTGGTGGTACTTCTCTTTCTCATTGAATCAGTCCGTCCACTCTTCATGTGCAGGATCTGGAAGAGTTCTGTTTCAAGTTTTGCGTTAACCACCTGACAGCTGTCACTCAGACACAGGCCTTCGCTGACATGGACCACGATCTGCTGAAGAACTTCATCAGCAAAGCCAGCCGCTACGGGGCCTTCAAGAACTAACAGAAAGATATAGTCGAAAGAGGTATTCTGCTTTGGCTCTGCAACATCTAGGCAAGTTCTCAAATACCTCAGATGTGGAGTTAGAGGAGCCAAATTCCTGTGGTTCGCGTGTGAAGAAGTGGGAAAGGCCACTGCACTGGTTGCCTTCTGGGTCCCAGTGCCTTTAAATTACATGACCATCTGAAGCCCTATTTAAGCGGAAGAATTCAAGACTGGATTCAAAGGGACCAGACAAGTCTGAAAAGATTGTATTGAAATAGCTAAACAAAAAGAAACACCTCTGAGGTGCTTTATGAGCAAGGGATTCATCTGTGCATAAGCAAAAGGGAAGACCATCTCATGTAGGAGATGGTTGATGGAGAAAGAGTTGCTTTTCTGTTACTGAACTATTGTTTTTGGTCAAGACCATATTAATTTGCAATATATTTTATATATATAACAGATTGGAAAGTTAGTCAGCCAAACACGTTGTCCATCTCATATACATCCATTATTGTCATGATGGCCTTTATAAAGCAGGCCAACAGCCGAACTTCCTGTGGGGTTTCAAAGATAAACCTGTGTCATAGGATATTATGATTTCATTTTTTTTTTTTCATGCATCAGAAGAAACTTTACACCATAATATGTCATTATAGTGGTATAGCATTATTTTTAAATGTAGCATTTACAATTTACAGATCCAACTAATGTCATATACTTCTGTTATGTTTGCGCTCTTTCTGTGTAGCAGTATTATTTTGAATTTGTCAGAAAGGTCAATGTCTGTCAATGTCATATTTTTTTATAAGCACTAACACGAGTGTTCGGGTGAATCTCACAAAAACTCTCTGGGGAACAGTCCAGACCATATTTCACCCCATAGTGAAAAGAGAAAAAATAAAGACATTTTGCATAAAGGAAAACCTGGTTGCAGGACATTTAAATTTTCCCCAATTCCCATTACTGTAAGAATGTAATAACAATATTAATAATAAACAATGCATATATATATATATATATATATACACACACATCAACATTAATTTGTTAAAAAAAAGTATTAAAATAAAATAAATTTTATTTTAGCAAGATGTTATTGATTTATGAATTGATTTAATTTAATTTAATTTTTTTAAATTTGGGGTCAAATATGAGCCGGGCATTTCTTCAGTGCTTTTGTTCCTGCAGGTAGTTGGGAAATGGTGCCGTCTGGTGGTGTTGATGCAAAACTAATCATGTGCCCATATTCTGTCATTATTGATGTCTTTCCAGCAAAATACTTTATTACCCACAGTTAATCGAGATTCCAGACAGATATTTTTTTATCACTTATTATAGCATCCGCCAACCAACCTAATCTTGAAATAGCACTTGAAACAATAAATATATATATATATATATAATCAGGTGTTTACAGTAACTTAAAGGGGTCATATAATGTTGCTAAAAAGAACATTATTTGGTGTAATGAAATGTTTATTACTTAAGGTCTTAAGGACTTAAGACTTAAGGTCTATCCAGTACGTTGTGATTGGCCGAATACCTCAAGCGTGTGACGGAAATGTTACGCCCCTTACCATACTGTGATGCCCTGTCCGGCCGGAGCTACGAGACCAAAACATTAAAATCCATTATAAACTAGGCATCCGTTGCATCCAGTGGGGACATAATTATGGATTATAATGACTTATACTGTCTTTTTACGCGTTGCATTGCGCTGCGTAAACATAAAACCATGTCTGCATTTGTGATCGGAGAAATGACAAACAACAAGCGCTACTTACAGTCTGTGCGTCAGAACAGCCGGCATTGTAGTCTACTCTACCAGGATCAGGAAACAGTCCTCCATAAAATGTGTTGCACACATCTGAATATTTGGGTTGAAGTGTTCTGGAACAGTGTTGTAAATACAACTTAACCACTGATTTCTAGTCGTGTCCATTTTTGGAAGGCCAAACAAAGTAGTTTTGCTTTCACAACGAAACACTGCATCACACACGGCGGCCTTGAGTGAGTAGAGGCCGGCGGCTAGAGTGAGCAGAGGCCGGCGGCTAGAGTGAGCAGAGGCAGCGGGCTTGAGAACGGCGTGGCCGACGGATTCGACGAAGGAGCGTCCGGAGGGCTTGCGGCAACAACATGTGACGACCCTGGGCTGGACTCCGCTTCGTCCAAGGTGAAAGCCGATCCGGTGATCCACGGCGCAAAGTTGTTGTATTTCCTCAGCGACCAGCACAGATCAGCTCCAGGCATGACGAAGCAGATATCGTCCTCTTTTGGAAGACCAAACAAAGTAGTTTCGCTTTCACAACGAAACCCAGCGCCTTCACGACATGGTGGCGGCAACAACAATACTACAGCGAGAATAAAAGTTACGCCGCTTCTTTGTGTGAACATTTGGGTGGCGTTATGCAAATCTTCCCAGATAGTGACGTAGGTATGTGGGGGCGTGTTAGAACGAGCCGTTTTAGGTAGGTGTGGCTGACTCTTAACTTTTATAAGGAATATCTCTTTGGATTTGAGACTTTAGTCTTTGCAACTTTACAGATCTTCTTTATGCACCAAGAGCTTGTAACACTCCAAAGATAAAGGACAAATTGAAATCTCATCATATGACCCCTTTAAGAGGTGTTAAACAACATCAGAGACCGCTTTCACTCTTTCTCACAAGGTCACAATGTCGTCTTGATGGTCAGTTGTTACAATCTACAGTCTGTTCATAATTGTTTACACCGTCAGGGGTTTCTGTTCTGTTGTAGATATTTCTACATGATTTCCTTCTTTAGGAACCCCATAAATGAGGGTCAGGAGTGCTAACCCTGCCCGATTGCCAAGAGAGGGTCTGTTAAATGCTCCCCAGTGGTCATGTTACAAATGGGGACTTAAATAATTTAACATTTGAATAATCTGTTTTAAGATGACACCAAACTTATTTTCCATTAAGCAAATGTCATACAGCACTTTTTGAATATTTAAATAAATGTCCTGTATATTAAAACTATTGTGTTTTGGAAAAGTTATTACAATTATAATATTGCACTTGTTTTTTTCTCCACTTGCATAACTTTCCACATTTTTTATGTAATAAAGTATCGATTCATTATTATGTATCATAGTGGCTGTATACAAGTTATTTCAATATTTGATTTCGTTTATTGAACATTTTTACAGTCTATGGTGTGAACAGCAGGCATTAATAGCAGGGCATTAATTCTTAGTTATTTAAAGTGCAATACGGATATCTACTCCCAACAGACCTGTATTTATGTATATATAATTTATTTTTATTTATTTATTTTTAACAAAAGGTGTAGATTAGATGCAATATTGAATTTAACGCGGATGAAAGCGATGTGAGGGATAGACCATGTAATGTTCACTAACATCTTTGAAAAATGTTTTATGGAGTTTTTTTCTACTTAAAGGGGTCCTATTATGCTCTTTTACAAAGTCTTGATTTTGTTTTGGGGGTGTACTAGAACATGCTCTCATGCTTGGTGGTTCGTAAAACGCATTATTTTTCACATAATTTACATTATTAAAATACCTTTCTCCCCAGCCTGGCACAAACGGCTTTGATGAAGGCCCGCCTTCCGAAAAACAAAATGTGTTGTGATTGGTTAGTTGTCCCAGTGCGTTGTGATTGGCGAACAGCTTAGATGGTGATTCAGTACTGCCACGCCCCCTTGCTCTGTCTTTCAACAAAAACTTTTGGGCGAATCCAGCAGGCACTGTACTCCCTCATGTTGTGGAAGCTGACCTCAGTAAAATGCGCAGCACACAATAGCAAATTGGGGTTATAATGCTCAGGAACAGAGTTAAAAAATAAATTGCAACCACTGTTTCCTGACATCATCCGCTTTCGGAAGCCCAAAGAAAGACGTTTTGGCACGGAGGTGAAAAAAAAACAGCGTTTCAGGCGGTCGCGCACGGGACGAGAAGCGCAGCATCGCGCCACGTCTTTAAAATTCAAATACATTATTTTCTATGAGTGTAGGCACACCGGCCGTGCCGTTCGGCGTCTGTCCGCCCAGCTACGTCGTGTTGTACTTGTAAGAATTGTTCTAGAAATGGCCGAAAATTTGAGGCTACAGCACAGCAGCACTTCTTCTTGGTTTTCTCTGATGCACTAACTCTGCAGCAGCTCTTCTTCTTCATCGTCTCGTCTGATGCACTCCCTCAACCAAGCGTTCTAACCACAACCTCACACCTCCCCACCCCCCAACCATTCGAATTTCTGTAGGCAGCCCGGAAAACACGCCTGTAGTCCAAACGAGCCATTCGTTGTAGTTCTTGAAAAGGGATTAAAAAAAACGAAACATCTCCCTTTGGAGTGGACTTTGAGATTTGTAACTTTCTAGATCTTTTTTATGCCCAAACATACACACTACACACTGACTAAAATAAAAAAAGTGAAAAAGCATAATAGGACCCCTTTAAAGTCTTTTCAGAAAATTTAGTCAGTTAAAAAATCGGTATGTTGTTAAATAACAATCCATTGAACGCATTGCATTTTCATTCCTGTCCAAATGAAACCTTGATACCCTGACTAAGGTCTGTAGAACACTGTCTTAAAATTCTCAAAATTTCTGTACAATTTGCTGCTGTAAGACATGTTTTGTGCCTATGAGTGGCGCTCTATGCACATTTAACACATGGGTTGTGTCTTAAAACCTTGTGAGCCTGTGAGCCGCCCAGCATTTTGGTCATCGCAAGCGCCTTCCAAGACAACATTTTTTTGAATATCATAGATGCACCTAGTATTCTAGTATTAACGCTGCTGAATTGCAACAACAACTGACCGAAATCAACGAAATAATGCACTAAAATCTTGTCTAGCGAGGGGGCTCACTGTGTTTTTGGAACAGCCACATTTGGGCACTTCATTTCTCACCATTAATTCCTGCGATCAGCATCCTGTAGTGCGCGTCTGGCTCTCTTCTCATCCTCACAGCTTGAGTTTTCACTCGTCCCGAGGATGCTGTGCGGAATCAAACACTCGTTCGTCTCCTGCATCAGTCGTGCAGCGTTTCCTCGCGGATGCTGAAGATCAGGTTAGACTGTGTGTGTTTGTGGATGATGTGATGGCGCACACTCATCACATCCACCTGCTGTCGTGAGTATCTGCAGCAGAACTCAATGTGTGCTTCTATCACATGCTGTTTATCTTGCGGTCTGAAAGCGGTCGAAGCTATCTGCCATAAATGTTCAATTAGCACGCATAGACACTGAGTTCATAAATGAGTGAATGTGCTGTATTCTATTATTTAAACATTTATATGATGTAAAATTTCTGCTATTACTATCACTATTTTTGGTGATTGTATTTACAATACAATACGTGTTTACAATAATAATCTGATTCATTCTTAATATGTTAGCTACATAATAAACACATTTATATAAATATAGCCTATACTTATATTAAAATATCACTGTACATTAATACCCTTGTATTTAATTGCTAATGTATACAAATTGGAGTATCATTAATAATAATGAATAAATAATATTTATCTTACAACTTTCATAATATATACTTTGTGTATTATTATAAAATGTCAATATTGTTACTGTAATATTAGTAATATTTATTACATTATTAATTTATATTGTTAACAAATGTAATTTTTATGTTATAAAATTAGACCTGTAATTTAATTAGTCTTTTTTTGTGATTGTGTACTTGTGTTAGAGCTTATATTTATATAATAATAATAATAATTACAATCTGCTACTTGCATAGTATTTATTGGAATATTTATTAATATAATATAATTATATTCATGAAAATTGATTTTATTTCATTACCAATACTGACTAAAATAAAAAAAGTGAAAAAGCATAATAGGACCCCTTTAAAGTCTTTTCAGAAAATTTAGTCAGTTAAAAAATCGGTATGTTGTTAAATAACAATCCATTGAACGCATTGCATTTTCATTCCTGTCCAAATGAAACCTTGATACCCTGACTAAGGTCTGTAGAACACTGTCTTAAAATTCTCAAAATTTCTGTACAATTTGCTGCTGT